TACACACGTAATTTGCAACTGGCTATTCATTATCCAGTGCATATAGATGCTCATAGGGGTAGGGTTTGCGTGCGTGTGTTTATAGGGGTGAGTGTGCGTGCGTTGTGAGTCTCTGCGTTGTACCGTATAATTTAAAAAAAATAAAAAAAAATTAACACCTTGCTTGATTATAGTTAAGCTCCCAACACGGCGACACTGCGCATACATGTGTGGGATTTGAATTCTTCGTGGGCGATGGTAGAAATATAGTTATACCTTATAGAACTTTATAGAAAAAATTGAAACATGTAGTACACCACTTAAAACGAGAGAAACTAAATTCAGTCGTCTAGCTAACACAACCCGTACTACGTATCAGCCCGTTTGGACTAGGGTTTAATATCTCCACTCCACATCGACCGCTTCGTCTCGTTGGCAGCGGCGATCGATCGAGCCGTCGCCGTTGGAAGCATGCGGTCCGTCGCACCTTCCGGTTCGTGGAGACGCCGGTGGGGACGTGCGTCAGGAACGGGAGGCTCGTGCGTCCCTCCGCTGCTTTCTACGCCACCACATCCTCCGCCTCCTCCGGCCATGCCCGACTGGGGCCTGCCTCCAGCTGGTCTCGCGTACCTTTTACTCGTCGCTGGCTACGGCTCCATGGCCACCACGAGCCGCCGCCGCCGCCGCCAAAGAAGGTGAGCAGATCATCGACGACGTACGATGATGAAGCCTACCACACACTAATAACTGTTCGGTTTCAATTAATTCCCAATTGAAGGGTTCTATTAATCTTATGGAATTGCTAATCTCTCCATTTTCGACGGAGAATCAAAGGCCCCTCATCTTGTAGCCACAACTCATTGGGAGGTACCACAAGTGGCCACAATTATAATTTGGAACTTTGGTAGCAGTATCAGCATACAGTTGAGGTAATTTTTTTCTCTCAAAAGTGCACATGAAAATCTCGCACATTTTACTCTCGATTTTTCATGGGTTGGCTGCTTCCGTAGGGACTGCATCTTTCAAGATGGTGGTGCTGCTATTGTTGGTATATTTCACAATATATTCCGATGTCTTTTGATTGTCGATTTCAAGTCACACAGAGCTGCCACTGAGGTAAACTAGCTTATGATATCTGATTGTTGTTATTTGTGATTTTTCAACACATAAAGTTGGCAATATCAAGTTGTTGATCATTGTTTCGCACGATGGCAATGGATAATTAATGAATAAATTCCACAAAACTTCATATATTTTGATTCAAGTTGCACATAACCATAAGTATTATGGCCACATGAATTCTGATGGTGTGGTTTCATGAAATCTTTAGACCCCGATTTCTAGCAAATTTACCCATATATTAATTGATTTCTATATAAGACTTTACATCAATCTTGTAGGCTCTTTATAAACTTGCTAAACGTAAGCTGTCATGCATGTGGCCAACTCAAGGTTTCATTCTTCGACAATGACACATATGTTCTTAAAAGGGGATTGACTCCTTAGGAACCATTCCCGAGAAGAAAATCCTCTGCTATTACTACAGATACAGTTGAGTCATTGACACGTGGATCCTGTTTTACTATGGCTCTACATGTCAATGGAACAACTGCATGTGTAGTAATGGCAGAGGACATCCCCCAAGTCCCACCCCCCTCCCTTTCTCTATATAAGCACTGTGCATGCGCGTGCAAATACTTGTGCTTTGTCAACCTTGCAGGTATCTGATGTGTTTTTTCTCTCTGTGAATTCGTCCCCTATCTGCAATTTGCTTAGAGATACATCATATATCTTGGAGATACCTGGAGATTTAAATTGTGCCCTTTTGGTTGAAGGTTTTGATTCATCTCCTCCTGTTGGAGGTGCACTTTTATCTTGTACATAATTTATTACTAGCCCTTGACATTTTTATTTACATTTAGCTTAATTTTGTTTTTCCCAGATCAGAACCATACTCGCAGATCACTTTACCTCTGATGAAGAACGGGTTATCATTCTAACGAATTCTATGGGATCAAGCATAGGGTCAGTTTAGCTGAATTCCTCCTCTCAAATTGTAGGCAAATTTCAATTGTAGTTGTTTGTAAATTAAACATCTGCTGTCATGCATGCATCTGTAGCTTGTGAGTTATGAATCACTACTGGAGCTGGGAAAGCTCCCGTGTGCAACCAGATGCTACCGTGGGTTTAACAAAACACCCAGTAACTTACCGGGTGTAGGACTAGGAACACGGTAACGTCCCAACAATACCGTGCGCTACCACGAAACACTCGGTAACAGGAAAGTTACCGTGTGGGACCACCTGGAGCACGGTAACATGACTGAATTCCATACTTCGGTTTTCACTCCGTTGGCACGAACTTTGAATTTTGTTGGCGCGCACTATGATTTTGTTGGCGGCAACGGAGCGGAATCCTCCCGCCTATTTTTTCGTTTTGACATACGGGAATGTCTAACAATTTCAAATTAAAAGAAAAGTTTAAAAAGTATAAAAAATGCATGAAAATTGTAAAATGTAAGGGAAAATTATTTATATCGACACTCTCAAAGATAGTAGAGTAGTAGACAATACAACTCGCAATAATAGGGTATCTATAATTCACAACTCACTGTACACAATATTTTTACGGATAACTGAAAATTGCAGGAAAATATTATAAAATCTAAAAAACACATAAAAGTTGTAAAAGTATAGAAAATGAGGAAAATAGTGAAAATAAATTTGGCATGACGTGTGCTACAATCTAGACACTCCCAATATAGTAGACGATAAAATTCACATAATACAACTAATTTTGATTTATTATTATTAGATTGAATTTCACTTTACGCTAACTTTTATTACCGATGTTTTCTCTTTGGATCATCCTTTTAACCAATATTTTTATTTTGGATTGGTTAATCTTACGCACTACTAAAAGGCATTTTCCATATATTCCAAAACCTTTTTTTCGTGTGGTTGAGCCGTCCATTTGCCCAAAAGTGTATGTGAAAATCGCTTTCCACATGGGTGGCGCACCAGCATGCCAAAATCAGATTTTTGTGTGTGGATGGACGCAAAAATAAAAATTCAAAAAAAAACTCGAAAACCCTAGCTAGGTCATCGTTGCGGTCCATCACCGCTTGTCATTGTCGCCATCAAGAGTTCATAGACAAGTAGGAGATAATGTACCTATAACAGCCGTCCCTTCAGAACTGCGTAGCCTAGCCCATCCGACGGGCGGACCCACTTACACACACCACTTCACTTATACTTTCGTCATCGCTTCGTGTAAAAGGGTTAACCCGGGAGTGGCATGGTTAGAGGGAAGATGTCTTATAAATTGGTTCAACTCATGCTAAACTAGTAAGGTGGTACTAAACATGCGCACACAACTCACAGGAGCCACACAGGCCAAATCCTAATTGGGCTAGGATGTCACAGTACCCAATATGGCTCAAATGATTGAGAAGAGAGCAGGATGGTTAAAAGTGCAAGAAAGGTATTATTATCTTTTAAATAGAAAGGCAACGTCAGTTGTGATCGCACTAGCTAGTCAAGACCAACAGAACTAGATGAACCATATCCTGGCTTGATTCCCATGTTCTACTTGGATAGGGACATAGATGAGTATAAATACGAACACAAAACCACATATCGTTTTGGATGAGATTAATTGAGTAGGTTATAATTAGGATTTCCCACCTGTGTGTTGTTCTCGGTGTGACTTCAAGCGGTGCACATAAACAAGTAGTGTTATTCCCCACTCTGTTAATATACAAACACATGATATTGTTTGGAACAATTGCAAACAAACTAAGTTTTTAATAACAATTATATATAATTTGAATATTTAAGTTCTCATTAAAGGGATTAGTACAGAAATCGTGTGAATAGTATTATTTTTCCAAGCAAAACTGCTTGTAAACTATGGTCGAATGGATTTAAATCGGACGGCTTATATTCATCAACAGATATGGCTATATATAGAACACTTCAACCCTAGCAAGCCACCTCTGACCCACTCTGGTTCTCCACCGAACCGCCGCCACCCCCCTTGCATCAACCAAATAATATGTTCCTAGCTATTGTAACTTTGGCTATTGCTTTAACTGACATGAACCATGAATTGAATTGCTTGTATGCTAATTATTAATTGTAACCTCTTTACTGAAATATATATTTATGTTGGAATGTGTTGTGCTCTTGTGTGCTTGTTGGTGGTTTATATTGTGATGGAAATAAGCTCTGATGGATATAGTAAACAAATTGCAAATAGCATATATTTTTTTTTATTAACACATGTTCTCTTACCGGGTGCTTCAAACACGGTAACGCACCACATGTTACCGGGTGTGAATGAATCACGGTAACACACCAAATGTTACCGTGTGTGAAGGACACTCGGTAAGCCACCATTCCGTTAGGAGCTCCGTTACACACAAGAGTCCAGCTACGACGGCAGCCTTACCGTGTGATTCAGCACACACAGTATGTGTTTTGGCCTTCCCGTGCGCATAATCGTAAAACACCCGGGAAGTGCGCATGGTAAACTGATGAAGCCGCCGAGTATCTGTTCCCGTGCACTAGCACCCGGTAACGTCGTTACCGTGTGTTTTTGGCCTGTTACCATAGGTTTTGAGCACACGGGAACCTTCCGGTACCCGGTAACGTTGTTACCGTGTGTTTTTGGCCTGTTACCGTAGGTTTTGAGCACACGGGAGCCTTCCGGTCTCCGGTAGTGAATAGTGATACGTGTTGTTTTAATTCACATTCCCTCTATTCTCATGCATTAAGACCTTGAAATCTCAACGTAATATGTGCAAAAATATCAAGATTTTACATTTGCAGATTCGCCGTGACAAATGCTTCCATGTAGCTATACTTTTACTATTCTTTATCAATATATAATCAGAAAAAAATAGAGCACTGCTACACGTACTAAATTTGTACTAACAGTCATCTCAATGGTAGTAAGAATTTAGTAAGAAAAAGTTAGTCAGTATAGACTTTTCTAAAAAAAATATTGATGAAACCTGTTCTACTCTGTCAACAAATAAAAAAAAAGAACATAGTGAATACTATTTTTATGGCATGCAACCTGCAAAGTAATGGTTGTTAATTAGTTTGATTCCAATAGCTCTTGTTTAAGTTCCTGCACTTTCATTGTTGCTACTTTGATAGTCTCTAATAAATATTCTAATCTTTGACCTATGTCATCAGTGTCTCCCCAATTATCTGTGTTTTTTTGGCAGGAAAGCATACCTAAAGTGCGAAAGCTGGTATCACTATTCAGAAGCACTTAGGCTGAATGGATCTGAACTTGGAGGCCACAAGTTGTGTGTGTCTGAATGTTTTAGGGGCAGGAAATTCTGGTCAGGCCATATCTCTCCTGATGGGCCTGGTACAGGTAAAAGTAAAGGGGCTATTGCTTATTTGACCCCGTTTTAGATCCTAACTACCAATTTGACCCTACTTTTCAGAGTTTGCTTATTTGACCCTCCTTTTCAAAAACGAAGCTCCCGTTTGACCCTGTTTCCGCTAGTCCGTTAAGTTTTGATTTAAAATAAAAAAAGAAATGCAACTATTATTCATAATACCCATAATACCCTTAGGAAACCCTATCCATCCACCCTCAACCCTATCCACATTTCTCTCTCTACACACTTTCTCTCTCTCCTTGCGGCGGTGCTGGTGCTCTAATGGGGCGGCGGCTGCGCTGATGGGGCGGCGGAGACGGCGAGCCGGCGCCGGCCTTGGTCACGACGACGACGAGGAGTGGCGGCGGCGAGTTCTTCTCCTCTCCTCCACGGATCCACCACAGGAGAGGCAGTGAATGGCGAGACGGCGAGCTGGCACCGGCCCTGCTGACGACGACGACGACAAGGAGTGGCAGCGGCGAGTCCGAGCGGTGGAGCTCGAGCTGCGGTCAGCGGATCCGGCGGCGACGCCGCCGCCTCCTCTCTCCACCCGCGCGCCTGCGCCGGGGCCGCCGCCGCCGCCTCCTCCCTCCACCCGCGCGCCTGCATCGGGACCGCCGCCGCCGCCTTCTCCCTCCTTCCACCCGCCTGCGCCGGCGCCGGCGCCGCCGCCTCCACCTCCTTCATTCCGCGCCCCTAGCTGCCGCCGCTTCCTTCCTCCCTCCACGAGCCGGCGCGGCTGCTCGCCCCCTCCGTGCGCTGCCACCGTAACTCGCCCCTTCGTCAGCCGCCGCTGCCGCCTCCTCCCTCCGCCTCCTCAGAGCGCCGCCGCCGCCGCCCTAACAATGCCGCCGCCGCAAGTCGCCGCCCCATCGGCGCCTGCTCTCCCTCTCGCCGATCCGTGGAGAAGAGAAGAGAAGAAAAGAGAGAAGAGAGGAGACGAGGAGAGGAGAAGAGAGAACTGACGGGTGGGTCCTACATGTAATAGGGTCAAATGAGTAAGGGCAAAAGAGATATTCTATGCTTCAGTTAACACCGTTAGATGCCCTTAACAGAACAGGGTCATACGGGGGCTTCGTTTTTGAAAAGGAGGGTCAAATAAGCAAACTCTGAAAAGTAGGGTCAAATTGGTAGTTAGGGTTCAAAACGGGGTCAAATAAGCAATTGTCCCAAAAGTAAAACACAAGCACATGCCACTAATTTCATGAAGAGGACAAACCATTTAGAATGAACTGAAGAACAAACATCGATTTGATGCGTAGTTTCATAAGGACAATAACAGTATTCGTCATTGTCTTGCAGGAAAGAAGATAGTTTTCAGCAACTGCAGTGATGAGGAGCAGGAAGAAGAGCTTCAAGCCAAATCTGCAATATAAAAAATGTACTATATGCAGTGTACTAATTGCTAGAGTTTAAAAGTATGACTTGAAGACTGTTTTATGCGCTGGCTGAGCTATAGTTCACTGACAACCTTTGGGATTATTAGGAGACTGAAGATGCAATAGACTAGGTTTGGTTCACAATACCGCTGGGGTGTTGAATTTCGACCCAGCAAGATGTCGAAAACTGAGAAATTTTGACCAATCTCAGTTGAATTACTGTTTTAAATTTGAATTTCTCAAAAACCATTCGAAACATGATTCCGGGGCGCCTAGAAATCACGAAATTTTGCTAATTGTAAAACCTGGGAATAGCAATGAAGCCGCAACCAGACCACGGTATGCATGTGCCCTTGGACTGTTGGAGCCATGAGTGAGGTTGGCAGCAAGCTAGGATGACAGTGTTGCAGAGCCTATAAACATGAAAAAATGCTGGCCGGTATACTATGCTCAAATATCTAAAAATCTTAGCATGGAGCCATGGATCATACAAATATATGTACGATATCAACTAAATATGAAAACTCGAACACAGGAGATCTGCCCATTTGATTAAAATAAGGTAATGAAAAAAAATCAAGCACATACAAATGTTTTTACAAAGGATTAATAATATATCTAATAAAATAATCAACCACAAAATGAGGAAACAAATAAAAAAAAGGTTTCACCATTATTTTGGTCCATTTTTTCTTGTGACTTTTTTTTTCAATTTACACAAGGTGGAAAAAAAAAAGAGGAAGAAACCCATGGGCTTCAGCCATGGCAAATGCCCCATGGCCTGAGATCCGGTACCAGTCCATGGAGTATTTCGGCCCATGGGCTTTTCTTTCTCAATCTCCGCTGACTCGTGGGCCCCACACCACAGTGGCAGCAAACCACCACTCCCAAGAGCCTCTCCGAGACCTCGCCGTCCACTCCTCCCACCCATCTCGTCTTCGTCTCCCCTCTCCTTCCCCCCACGCCGCCTCGAGAAAGAGGAGAAATCGAGAGCGCGGCGGCCGAAGATGCCGGCGACGCCGACGATCATCGGCGCCCTCCTGGGCCTCGGCACCCAGATGTACTCCAACGCCCTCCGCAAGCTCCCCTACATGCGCCGTACGGTCGATACGTAACCCCCCCCCCCTCCTCCTCTCTTCCCCCCCCCTCTCTCTCTCTCTCTCGATCTGTCCTCGCGTCGCGTCCTGCCATTCTGTACGTGTTGCTGGTTGCTGATTCCGTCCGATCTGTACTTGTTTCTGCCGGAGACGCGTGTATCTTGGTCGGGTTGGGGGGCTCCGTCTCTCCGCGTGTTCTTAGGTGTTCTAGATGTGATGCGGTTCTTGACTTTTTTAGGTTTTGTGAGCTCTACAATGTTGGTTATCTTTTAGCTTTAGTACAGTTTTATGATGCTATGGATTTGCCCATTTCACTTGATTTGAGGGAGATACCATCAAAATGGCAGCCTCTTTTTATTGAAGAGGGTTCTTGATGCTACGATTTATGTATTTTTAGATCCCTGGGAGCATGTGGTGGGAATGGGCCTGGGTGCGGTGTTCGTCAACCAGCTGGTGAAGTGGGATGAGAAGCTCAAGGAGGATCTCGACAAGATGCTTGAGCGTGCAAAGCAAGCCAACGAGCGGCGTTACTTTGGTTCGTGCCTAATTCCTCTAACATTTTTTTTGAATTCAGATTACTCTTTCTTCGATTCTGCTTTCTGTTATTACTATTGCCCACATGCGACCTATCGTTTTAGCATTGCCACTTAAAGAATAAGTGATAGTAATAACAAGTTGTATTCTCCAAATTACTACTGTAATTTTGACTTTGCAATCTCTGGTACTCCGTAATGGTTATGCTACTCTGTTGAAAGAATCAGTAGTGCCTCCTAATCAAAGCAGTAGTTAGAATAATTACTAGTATATACAATAATATTTTTAGACTCCATGGAACTTAAATATGGCACATCAATAATCTGTTTTCCATTCAGATTGTTAAGTGTTAAGTTTAGCATGGTTCATTCAATCAACCTTGGGAACAGTTGGGATAGCATTTTGAGTGGCATACACAAGTGATGTATAATAATGCATATTCCATGATAGATAGCAACGGAGGTATGGAAGAACTGGAACCTCCTCCTGGCCAAGCAGAAATACCCGGATTTATTGATAACCAGCAGATAGTCTCCATCTCCGCAGACAGTTATAATTCTTGGGTAACCATTTATCACGTACTTGAGAACAAACAACGAAGATTGCATTTTAAAGGAATCGTGTTTAAAACTAACAACATAAAGTAGCTAAATAGATTAGATCTATAAGGAACATACAAGATACTCCCTCCATCTACTTTTGATAGTCATATTTCATCTTGGCACATAGACCAAGGATAAGTAATTCTACTTATCATCCATTTAAACATGCTACTAGTCATTCCTTGTAAACAAGCGATTCATTAATATCTACATTTCTCAATGCCCATATAGCCAATCTTGTGTGGAGGAATGGAGGGTCACGCATTAAATCCGAGAAAGTCATTAAGAGGATAGGTTGTTGGATTGAAATATGCCTATCAAAAATAAATTTTTCAGATTTGGAAATATGACTATCAAAAGTAGATGGAGGGAGTAACAGTTTATTCTATGTTTCTGCAAAATGTTCCTCGCTAGTATGAATGACAAACACAATACTGCAAAAGAAAAGAGGGCACTGTTGGTACGTCCATAGCAAAAACATCAAACCTTGGAGTAAATACACCGTTTTTAAACCATTCCCATGTAGGAAATTATCTGGACATGTTCACTCTAGTGGTTCACTGGCATCGACTTAGGTACAAAAGCATAGAACACCTGGGGTCAAATTTGGATTTCAGCTGAAGAGTTCTATAGTTTGTACTTTGTAGTCTCCACTCTCCATTACACTAATAAAAAAAGTAAAGCTAGGACGATGTACCATTCTCATACTACTCCCCTGTTCAGGAAATTCTCTAGAGACCTTCATATAGTGGCTTAAGTGCAACAGCATGGCAGCTATGGTCAAGTTAAATTGTGGCAGAGGACATCAGGACAATATTACCTGAGAGCAGTCTCAAGCGCACAATGTGCCAAAAGATCAAAGAACTAGTATTCATTGCGTTTGGGAAATTCAGTACAGTCCGTCTCTATGACACATTCATACTAAAGCTGAAGGTCACATAAGGTTGGGTAAATAATGAGGAATTGGTGTGATAGCCAAGTTCAATTTTATCACTAATTTTTGTTTGGAATATCACACATAAACAGCTAATAAGCAAGGCAGCAGTAAAATGATTTTTTTTCCCCATCAATATATGGAGGTTACATGTAAACAAAAGGATATCTTGAAAAGTTCATTACCATATAATGTAAAATATAAATTCATTTCAGTATCAATAAACCATATCAATACTCAAAAGTTGTGAGTAAATAGATTTTGCGACTGAAAATTTTCAATTGACCATTTTAGTGAGAATGCAAATAGAAGAAAGAAAGTGGCAAAAACTGTAGGAGCATGATTAGTGTATGGCATGATATGCCAATCTTTAGTTGTAGCATGAATGAACTACACACTTTTAGATGTAGACATGTAGTATATTTCCATTTGTTTGGCTATCTTGTTTGCTTGATAATTGTTGTAGTAGAAATGAAATGGAGCTAGAAACAAAGCTTAGGCTAGAACAAGATATCTGGTTTTTAAGACTTGGGCTGGCTGATCAGTATGAACACAACCTGTGTAAATGGCAGTAGTGATTCGTGTTGCTTTTGGTGTCTAACAGCTTCAGGCAACATATTTGTGTACCTTTGCTAGCTCAGTCGTCCAAATATTACTGAAGCCAGTAGAGCTCTTGTTTGTAGATGGGTTCTATGCTATTTCTGTTGAACCATGTGCTCATTTTTATGAATAGTTATAAATACAATACCTTTTCTCTGTTTAATATTTATTGGCTTATCAATCTCTTATTTCTGTTTCTGCAGATGATGATGATGATTAGCTATTTTCATATTGGTTTGTCAGCCACCAGACTCTTTTTTTTCAGTTTGTATGGTCTGTACACATGGTTTGGACCATCCATCTGTAGTCGCCGTATCAACACCCGGCTCGCAATTTCAACTGCGGTGCTGTAATAAACTGTTGTTTTCACAAAGGATGTGATATTTTGCTTGTATGAGAAACCAATTATCGAACTCGGCTCTGATGGTATACCTTCCCTGATGCAAAGTCATTGTTTAGTACCAACGGTAGCGCTTTTACAAAGTTAGAATTTCTGCTTACCCATATGTTGTGAGGTTCTAGTGATGTGATATGTCACCTTGCTCGTTCATTCCTTTTCTTCACTGCTCCTCCATCCTTATGTCCACTGCTCTTTTTCTGTTTGTTGTTATGATTATCCTTATACTTGTGTTTGCCATGCCTTAATGTTGTGAGTTGAAGTAACTTCTTTTACCCTATCATGAGACTTTAGCTGATGTCTCTTTCATGTTGCGATTTCTGTTTCAACTATTTTTCAGAGCATCACTTGAAACAGGACTGGGCAATGCTGAGATGAAACAATGTTCAGAATTCATCAGATGCTTCTGAAATCAATCTCCATACACAGTTTACACTTGGAACAGTTAAAAACAATCCAATTGAAGAGGATTCTTTGCTTGATTTGATTTTCTCAACCACACACCCCCCCTAAAAATGCACAATTTTTTGTTACCTCTTTCACCCAACAAAGATGATCTAATTAGCCACCAGAAACAAGAATCAGAGAAAGAAAAAAGAAAAGAAAATGCTCAGGAGGACAAGTTTCCAGCGTTTGGAAATCGTCCTCGTAGCCTAGCGCTTGTGCTCGCCGGCTCGATAGTAATCGAGCGAGACGTGGAGCAGCAGGTCGGACACCTGCCTCGCCGTGGGCCTCTCCCCCGGCGCCGTCCTCGTGCACCGGAGCGCCACCTCCAGCACCTCCGTCATCGACGACTCCTCCCGCGGCGCCAGCGGCTTCAGCGCCGGGTCGAACACCTGCTCCCGCCCCGGCGACGGCGCCTCCACCCTCGACTGCACCCACCGCACCATGTCCACGTCGCCGCCGAACGCCTTGTCCGTCGGCGTCAGCCCGGTCACCAGCTCCATCATCACGATCCCCATGCTGTACACGTCGCTCTTCTCCGTCGTCTTCAAGCTGTATCCGCACTCTGCGCGCAAGATCCAAGATGCCCATCAATGGCGTCCGCGACATGGACATGGTGGCGAGCAATTGACACAACGGAAGTTTGGTTTTTACCTGGGGCCATGTAGCCGTAGGAGCCGGCGAAGCAGGAGGCGGAGTCGGTGAAGTCCTTGCGGTTGTCGGCGACGGACTTGGCGAGGCCGAAGTCGCCGAGGTGCGCCTCCATGTCGCCGTCGAGGAGGACGTTGCTGGACTTAATGTCGCGGTGGACGACGCGGGGGACGCAGTCGTGGTGGAGGTACTCGACGCCCTGCGCCAGCCCGGCGGCGACCTTCAGCCGCGCGTCCCAGCTCAGCACGCGCTTCTTGCGCTCGCCGTCGCCGCCGCCGCCGCCACCGGCGGCGATGCCGTGTAGCCAGTCGTACAGGCTGCCGTTCTCCATGTACTCGTAGACGAGCATGCTGCCGCCGCCGCCGCCGCCGCCGCCGACGTCGTGGCTGGCGACGAAGCCGAGGAGCTTGACGAGGTGGCGGTGGCGGACGCGGCCGAGGATCTTGACCTCCCTCGCGAAGCTCTTGTCGTGGAGGAGCATGTCGCTGTCCATGTGCGCGATCCGCTTCACGGCCACCGTCTCGCCGGTGGGGAGCTCGGCCCGGTACACCGTCCCGGACCCGCCGGAGCCGATGGCGAACTGGTCGCTCAGGTTCGCCGTCGCCTCCATGATCGCCTCCCACCGGAACTCCCGCCGCGCCGACCCCTTCACCACCAGCTGCCGCCCGTTCGTGTTGTTGCCGCCACCGCCGAGGCTCGACGAGAACGCCGTGCAGTTCACCTCCCCGGACCGCCGCCGCCGCACCGCGATCAGCACGAGCACGATCACCAGCAGCACCACCGACAGCGTCACCGCCGCCGACACCAGCGCGATCGTCGCCGACCGCAGCGCCGACCGGCCGCCGCCGCCGACGCCGCAGCTCACCAGCGGGTGGCCGCAGAGCCGCGCGTTGCCGGCGAACGCGCCACGCGGCCACCGCGAGAACTCGCTCCCCAGCCTCCCCTGCAGCTGGTTGCTGGACAAATCCAGCTGCACCAAGCTGCTCATCCCGGCGAGCTGCGGCGGCACAGCTCCGGCGAGCGCGTTGTGGGAGAGATTCAAGCTCTCCAGCTTGGAGAGCGACCCGAGCGACGCCGGGATGCTGCCGCTGAGATCGTTGCTGCTCAAATCCAGCAAGCTCTGCAGCTCTTGCAGCTGGCCAATGTCGGGAGGGATCGGGCCGGACAAGAGATTCCGCGACAGGTTCAGCTCGTACAGGTTGATCAGCTTCGCGAGGGTAGCCGGAATCTCGCCGGAGAGCTGGTTGCCGGCCAGGTTGAGCACGTTGAGCGAGACCAAGCTGCCGATCTCCGATGGCACTGTTCCATTGATCTGGTTGCCGTCGAGCGAGAGCTTGATGAGCTTGGAGCAGTTGCTGAGCTGGACGGGCACCGGCCCGGTGAGCTCGTTGCCGGAGAGCGCCAGCTCGCCGAGCTCCGGCAGCGCGCCGACCCACGCCGGCACGGGGCCGGACAGCCGGTTGCCGCTGAGGGCGATGTGGCTGAGCCGCGCGCACCGCGCGAGCGCGTCCGGGATGCCGCCGGTGAGCGCGTTCCCCGACGCGTCGAGCATCGTCAGCGCGGCGGCGTTGCCGAGCGCCGCCGGGATCGGGCCGGACAGCGCGTTGCTCCCGAAGCGGACGCGCTGGAGCGACCGCGACCGGCCGAGCTGCGCCGGGATGCCGCCGGAGAAGGAGTTGTTGGTGGCGTCGAACGACAGGAGCCTCGCCGAGCCGCAGAGCGGCAGGAGGCCGCCGGCGAGCCGGTTGTGCGCGATGTTGACGCGGGTGATGTTCCGGCACTCGAACATGCCGTCGGGGACGTCGCCGGCGAGCGAGTTGTTGTACAGCATGAGCTGCTCCAGCGACCGGAGCCTCCCGAACGTCGCCGGGATCTCGCCGGAGAGCGCGTTGTCGGCTAGGTCGAGGACGGCGAGGTTCACGCAGTCGCCGAGCTCCGGCGGGATCCGGCCGGACAGCTCGTTCTGCCGGAGATGGAGGAACGCCAGCTCGGAGAGCTTCCCGATGGACGCCGGCAAGCTGCCGTTGAACCGGTTCCCGAAGAAATCAACCATCTGCAAGCTCGAGCACTCCCCGATCGTCTCCGGTATCTCGCCGGAGAAGTCGTTCTCGTACAGGAAGAGCACCTCGAGGTTCACGAGGCGGCCGACGGCGTCCGGCAGCCGGCCGGTGAGCCCATTGTGATACAATGCGAGGACCTTGAGCTCGGTGAGGTTGAAGAGCTCCGGCGGGAGCTCGCCGGAGAGGGTGTTGTTGTTGAGCAGCAGGTCCGTCAGGTTGCCGAGCTCGCCGAGCGCCGCCGGGATCACGCCGGTGAGGCTGTTGTTCGCCAGGTCGAGCTGCGTCAGCGCCCGGCACCGCGAGAGCCCCCCCGGTATCTCGCCGGAGAAGTTGTTCGTCGAGAGCATTAGGTGCTCGAGGCTCGTGGACTCTGCTCCACCGCCGCCGCCGCCGCACAGGTCGCCAGGGATGCGGCCGGTAAGGTGGTTGCCGGAGAGCGCGAGGAAGCTGAGCTCCGGCAGCTGGCCGACCTCGGCGGGGAGTTCGCCGGTGAGCAGGTTGCCGGACAGGTCGATGGTGCGCGCGCGGGAGAGCGCGGCGAGCTCGCGCGGGACTCGCCCGGAGAGGCGGTTGTTCATGAGGTTGAGGTACGCGAGCTCGCCGAGCTTCCCGAGCTCCGGCGGCACGGCGCCCTCCAGCGTGTTGTTCGCCAGGTTCAGCTTCTGGAGCGCGGCGAGCCTCCCGAGCTCCGGCGGGATCACGCCGGTGAGCTGGTTGTCGGCGAGCGAGAGCACCTCGAGCCCGGCGATGCCGCCGAGCTCCGGCGGTATCGGCCCGGACAGGGAGTTCTCCTGCAGGTTCAGCGCCGTGAGCGCCGCGAGCCTCCCGAGGCTCCTCGGGATGGCGCCGGTGAGGTTGCACGACGCGGCGGCGAGCACGGTGAGGTTGGCGAGCACGCCGAGCGCGGCGGGGATGGGGCCCGACAGCGCCGGGTTGTCGCCGACGCGGAGCACCCGGAGCGCGGCGAGCGCGCCCAGCGACGGCGGGAGCTCGCCGGCGAGGCGGTTGGAGTAGAGCAGCAGCGCCGTGAGCCTCCCGAGCGCCCCGAGCGCCGCCGGCACCGGGCCGGCGAGCCTGTTCGAAGACAGGTCGACCACCTCCAGCCGGTCCAGCCGCGCCAGCGCCGCGCCGGGGACCTCCCCGGCCAGCCCGGCGCCGGACAGGTTCAGCCCGGTCACCCTCGCCCCCGCCGCGTCGCACTCCACCCCCGCCCAAGAACAGAACGCCGACGAGTTTCCGCCACCGCCGCCCCATCCCGCCAGAACGCCGCCGGGATCCTCCACGAACGCATTCTTCACATCCATCAGCGCATCACCATCCCCCGCCGCCGCCGCCGCCGAGCAAGAACCAAGAACCACCACCACCACCATTACTACCACCACCCACGCCGGGAAGAATCGCCGCCGCGCCATCATCGCCGGCGCCACCACTCCGGCGCGTCTTAGCTAGCTACGTGGAGTGCATGGGCGCATCGGTTCCCGCGCAGTACGTGGGGGAGTGGAGGAGTTAAGGAGGCATCTGTGGTCGTGTCAGTGCATGGGCAATCAATGGCGCCGGCCGCGTCGGCCTCTAGAAGGAGTTGGTGAGCAGCTCGGGAAATGGAATGGATCAGCTCAAGAAGAAGAAGAAGCAGAGGAGAGAGAGGGGAATTGGCAGTTGAGGGGAGTGAGTAGACGAGAGGAGGAAGGACTGAGGGAGGGAGAGAGGAGTTCGTGGGAAAGAGAGTGGTTGGTGTCCCTTTTATGGGTGATAGGTTGAGAACGAAACGAATCCGCCATGGCTATCTTATGGGCATGTTTGAAGATTTTTAAGATTCTAACAAGCCTGTTGATAGCCAATTTTTTAAAAATCTAGAAAAGATTAAAATAAATACAACTTCTAACTTTTCGTTCATCTTTTGTATTTGGTAGCTACATCTTCACAGTTTTTTAGAACGAAACGAATCTGCTATGGCTATCTTATGGGCATGTTTGGAGATATTTTGAGATTTTAAGAAGCATCTGGTTGATAACCACTTAGCCAGTTTTTAAAAATATAGAAAAAAATGAAAAAAAATAAATCAAACTTCTGATTTTCCGTTCATCTTTTGTATTTGTTAGCTATATCTTCACATAATCTAAATAAAAAAATGAACTGTTTGGGGAGCTTTGGATTTTGGGAGAAACTTATTAACCATGGATTTGAAGTTTGTATTTTAAATTTTAGTGGTTTAAAGTTTTATATTTTATTTAAAATAGGAAAAAAATGATTCATCCAAATGTTATCAATGCAATCGTATATTCAGATTTATAGATTTGTGAAGCTAGGCATACATAGCTTTAAGAAATATTGAATCCAAAGCTGTACCAAACAGAGGCTTAACTTTGTTGGTATAAACTGGCTGGAATGATTTGGACGCTAGATGGGGGCCATGGTGGTTTTGTACTGATCACCCTACTTAGCAGCAAAAAGGATGTGGGGGCTCATCATCTGGCCGCCTGATGCAGCTACATATGTGATTGTCAAGATGCTGTACTCTCTATGCCCCACGATGTAGTAAGTTCACTGTAGTGAATTCGACAAGATGTGATCTTTGTCCAGGTTCGTTACTTTGGGTAGATTTAATTTAAATTCAAGATGAGCATCCGGAAGGTTGTGATGAGGGAATAGTGTACTCTGTCCCACAATGTAAGAGTGGACTTAAAATGATTTTCACATGGATTTCGCAGCTTTTGTATATCTCTGGAGGGTATTTGCTACATTTCAACTGCCCTTTTTTTGTTTTCTTCAATCACCTGAAATTACACCATTATTAAGTCTTAAGATTACGTTGTTATGTGCGGAAATTTAGTTTATTTTACTGCCTTTTGTTAATTTATGTAGTTTTACTTATTTTTTTAATGTAAGTTGTATACTTTATATTTCAACTTTCAGTTGTGCATTAAATTTATTCTTATTCAACTTTCCATATAAGAAAAAATGGATTGCGTTTAAATAGAGTAAGGGTGCGACGGAAGTAGGGTGTGTTCATGCTAAAATTGAAAGTTTGGTTGAAATTGTAACGATGTGACGGAAAAGTTAAAAGTTTGTGTGTGTGGGAAAGTTTTGCTGTGATGGAAAAGTTATAAGTTTGAAGAAAAAGTTTGGAACTAAACTCGACAGTAGTTTTTTTAGGGAAAAAGTAGTTGTGTTTTTATTTAAGGGATGAGTGGAGTGTTTGAAATTTTTAAAGATTAATTCATCAACCTTAAAGCTAGACAATCTCTTTCTCAAGATAGATGCAACTTTCATTTTATCTCACCAATAAGTTAAAGGTGATACTAAAAGGGGGAGTCATTGAAAGTACAGCAGGGTGGAATATCGACAAGCCGGATGGAAGAAAAATGGTTATGACAATGAGAAGAATTGAAGAAAGATGTAATAGTAATGTATGCACATACGCATGGTGAAACAGCTGTTTAAAAATATTTTCGCGAACGCGAAACAACCGTTTAAAATAAGTTTGATATATGTGAGGAAAATGACTCAACGTGATCGAGGATAGATCTTGTCTTACACAATCTATATGCCTGATGAAGCAACTTTTATATATATATATATATATATATATATATATATATATGCATGCGTGCACTTAGGGAATCTTCAGTAGTTGTCTCTAGAGCTGTGGTAAGCAAATCCCCTAATGTCGATATCATTGTTATCATTACCTAAATAAGTTTATATTACTAGCCAAATATCCACGCGTTACAACGAATTATTAAAACTTGAAAGAAAAAATAGTCCTTGTTGAAAAAATATTGATTGAAGCAGGATTTTTCACCTTAAAAATAGAAAAAGAAAAATGCCATCCTTAGAAAAGTTAAAGAACTACAGCGTATAGAGTAAAAGAAAGTACTTGTTTCATGGCCTACATGGCAGTGATTATATATGATGGTGGTGAGCCACCAATACTAGTGTCTTTTAATTGTAGTACAGATTTATATTACAAGTCCAAACAAGTTTCCATTGCTCACTCGTGTAGGGGTAGCAATTTCCCCATTAGCGCCGGGACCCGCCGCTATGGGTAGGGGCGGATCCAACATGGGTGCTAGGGGGACTTGAGTCCCCCCACCCCGCTGGATCACCATTGATAGAATGAGAGATGAAAGGGGAAGAAGAGGGAGAAAATAAAGAAAATGAGGGACTGAAGAAAGGAGAAGGAGATGAGTCCCCCCTTCAATCTGGTTCTGGATCCGCCCCCGTCTACGAGGGTGGGGGCGGAGAGAGTTCTCACCCGCGGGTGAGTGGGGACAGGGCCCCGCAAAATTCCAGAGATGGGGGCGGGGATCGAAATTAACCTGTGGGTGACCCTGAGGAGCCCCAGATGTGAGTTACTTCTCTAAAAGTTGCCCATTGCAATAATATAGATCCAACAATCCCATTCAAAATTGGCATATAAAAGCTCAACACCCTAGTTCCCCTCAACCGTAATCCTTTTCCTTTCTTCAATCAACCCACACCGCCCGAGGCTATTGAAATTTTAGCATACTATTATTCAGTGTATTTCAATATATTTATGGAGTATTAACTCCATCGGGTGATGTGGGGCCCCGGTCACCCGTCGGGTCCCATGTGGGGGTAGGGACGGGTGATGTTTGTCACCCAACTTCCTTTCTAGGGCCGGGGACGGGGGCGGGGGCAGGGGCGTTCCAACCCAACCTGGCCCCGCCTCGCCCCGTTGCCACCCTACACTCGAGCAATAGAAGTACTACTCCCACCAGTCATGAAAAATATATACTTATAGACTTGGTTAGTTTCAAGCTAAACTTTAAAAAACTGATTTATTTTTCAATATTTTGATTAGTTGTATGATAATATACATAGCTTTTCCTCCAAAAATAATTTCATAATTATCAGGTTTTCCCTATATTTCTGCAATAAAAATTATAGTCAGAATTACATTTTGTAGACCAACATAAAATGACACATTTTTATAAACTATAAGAATATGGCACATGATTTTGTTTTCTTTTTGATTTTTTCTATCTCTATAGGATCTAGCGGATCTTATATTTGTGGTGGCTCGCGTGAGAGGGAGCTCGGCGTGTTTGGTTGTCTACGTCTGCCTTTCAGACATCAATTGGAGTTAATGCGGGAACAAGGAATTTGAGTTAATGTGAGAACAAAATTGGGTTTGAAGGCACACAGACAGCAGCAATTAATCATCTTGGGTGCACCTATTTTCTACTAATCATTTTCATGTCTAACCCTTTTTGTGCAATTGATCAAAATGGAAATTTGACACGTACAGCAGCAAATAAGCAGACCAGATGGGTAGTGGTTGACTGGTTGTCTGGCCGGGAAAGCTGTATATGGTTATTAGGCTACAGGAGTATTGGCAAAATAAAATACTAGTAGGTAAAAAAAAGGTGTTTATGAGGGATAAATTAATTTTTTAGAAGAAAACAAAACAAATGCTACTAGTTTAGAACAAGTAATCTAACTATTCAGTAAAAGAATGATTTTTTAAGGAAACATATTGTTAAAAGCTTTGAGCAAATTATCAGCGGTAAGGATCCCATGAATAAGGTGAAAATAAGCTACCGAGCAAGGAGTTTTATTTGATTTTCATGCAAAAGTTTATACTCTCTTCGTCCCAAAATAAATATAGTCCTCTAGTTTAAATTTGAACGAGATGACTGCACTTATTTTTGAACGGAGGGATTACATTCCAAATGTCAGATATTTCATTAACAGTGTACACAAAAATATTTCTTTGTTTAGATGTTAGAATCTAGACAAGATCGAGTACTAAGTTTTTATATTTTTTTACTACACTGTCACGTAGAATTAAAACCACTCCTATTTAAATTAGAAGGTAATTTGTCTGGTGTTAAGTAATAATTAAGAATGAAATATGTCTGATTTTTAGGTATAGGGTATAATTCGTACTTACTCAGTAGACTAAGGGTATAATTCAAACGTTTTTCCTTTGGGTTTTTAGGAGAGGGGGTACGACTTTAAAAACAATTTGACCTGTTACGACTGTAATAAGGCTTGGACGGCTGGCTCGGTTTTGGTGCGTACATATGCACTTTTAAGCCTGGTTCAGTTTCTAACTTTTTCTTCAAACTTTTAATTTTTCTATTACATCAAAACTTTCCTACACATATAAATTTCCAACTTTTCCATCACATCGTTCCAATTTCAATCAAACTTTCAATTTTAGCGTGAACTAAACACACCCCTACTCTCTCCGTTTAAAAAAAAAACTTAACTTATAGAGTTTAAATTTTCTTCCACACAAAATCAACTTCTATTATCCTACCTATCTTCAATATATAAAATGAGATGTTTTATTCCTTAGATACCCTTTATCTACCAATTACCATTACTACTTTTTTCAATGATAAAGGTCATTTTGGTCATTTTCACTCCTCACTAAATTTATCTTGCGATGATAGGAATGGTTTTCTTTTTTTTTTTTTTTTGGGCGGAGGGAGTATTCGGCTAGGAGTAGGCGTAGCATTCGATCGATTTGTTCACTGAAAACGTCCGTTCGATGTTCTTTCGGACATCGATACGATACGCGGCGGAAAGAAGCTACTGCTACACAGCCGACAGCCTACAGAGTCCAAACATGTAAAAAAGGGGCTCGTGACCGACAAGGTTTCCTCGGCTTTCCACTTGGGCGAGCGACGTCGTAGGGGAAGAAGAAAAAAAAAAGGATCGATCAATGCGATGCCCAGGTGGGTCCCACCGACAGGCCGGGGGAAAAAGGGTGAC